CTGATCCATCTGATCTGTGAATGAGCTCCTGAATGCATCTATAACTTGACCACCAGTGCACAACGCTGACTCAGAGCCAACTGTTCAGATGGAAACTCCAAGTAACATCACATGCCATAGCAGATAGAACTGGCAGCTTTGGAGAACTCACTTTCCACTAATTAAGGTTAAGGATGTCAAAAGAACCAGCATCTGGAGCTGGTTGCTCACTTAGGTAGGTAGGCTTCTAACTCAAATTATTGAGTAGCTTGAGATGACTCGCTCTTGAACCTACTTAACACCTTGTTTGACAATGATCCTTGCACTGGCTCAGACAAACTAGTACAGCATCTAGACACGAAGTCCTTGCTAACTCAGAAGCTGAAACAAGTGCCACCGTCTATTTCAAACACAAGGTTGAAAAAAAAAATGTTAGCAACTAGACCAAACTCAAACTAATAAATTGCTTGTTCTAATTCAAAAGATGACAAGTTTAGAGCTACAAATATTTATGCCATCAACTCTCCAACTTATCTCCTCTTTCCTGACTTCTATAATCAGTTTTTTCTTTTTTTTCTTTTTTTTCTTTTTTTTCTTTTTTTAATTAGAAGAAAAACCTTTTCCCCCTTATTAAAATAGCCTTACTAAATCTCTTCACATCAATTCATTAAAGATTCACTCCAATTTCAGTAAGATCAACACTAATACCAAATTGAAAACCAGAAACTTGCATTAATCAAGATCAAGACCAAAAACTTCAACAGAAAGATACTGGAAAACAGAAACTAGTTACTAGCTTTTTTACAAGGATTACTTTTCCAATATAGCATTGTAACAATTCTTCAACAGCTTCATGCAGTGATCATCATTCCAGTCATGAAGTATCTACAGAAAATTTAACTTCCAGATTCCACCTTTGAAAGATATCCAATTGCAAAGCAATTGATGATGTGGATTAATATGTAACGTGCAGTTATTCATGATTATCATACACCAAGAAAAATCAGAACTTACCTTCATAAAATGGCATCTCCCTTGGGGACACTTCTGAACATATCTCCTCCCCCTACATGTTCGACCCAAAAGCTTGTTTTTTCACTTACCAAGGTCAAGCTCCTACATCTCTCTAAAATTAAGCCCAGAAGGGCTAGAAGATGGAGAGTAATTACCCACATCTCTAGCTGCAGCTGTAGATTTTGCTTCCTGCAATATAGCTGCATGACTAAAGCTTGATGAGGGCAAGGCATAAAATGAAAAAACAATGAGAGAAGCACATAGTTGTCAGGGACTTTTCCTTTGTCCTGGTAGAAATTTTCACAGGCATTCATGAATCACATATAAAATCAGGATTTCCTCTCTCCAAAATGATCTTTAACCATCTCTGCATGAACAAATGTAACAAAACCAAGCATTATCTTCTGCTGGTATCTATGGGTTCCTCGGATCCTTAACTAGCTGGATACAACAGAAACCAAACTATATTCAGTGTAAAAGCAAAGAAATTCATAATAAAAAAGGAAAAAGAACAAAGATAAGAAAAATCTAGTTTGGGAGTTTTCTTTTTCTAATTCTCAAAGATTATGAATCCTGACAGAATCTAGGGGATGTACACACAAACTAATAGAATAGCATTCATAAAATGCACTTAACAAATACATGCGCATCTAGTAATATAAGTTTTGTTAACATGGACAATACTCAAAGTTCAAACTTTTGCAGTTATAAAATCCACATAACATAAAGCCTAGTGCATCCAGAAAAGTTTAAGCATCCAAATGAAATTTGGTTCCACTTAAAATATAAACATCCTGTTTGATCATCATCTATTATTCTTAGCCCCAACTCCACAGTCCACTGTGGATTTCCTTGGACAGCCTGGCACAAACGAAGGAACAGCCATCCGTATAAATTTTGTCCAGATTGCAAACGTCCCTTTCATTAGATTGAACTCAAAAGGATTGAACCAGTTGGTCAGTCCCAATACAAGCAACATAATCCAATAACCCATCATCCCTGGAAATTTAAGAGCCAAAATTAAGATAATTCTGCTGCTCAAATTTACATGACTAGTTCTCTAATGGATTGAATTTGTCAGTGAGAATCAACTTGTAAAACAAATTAAAAACCAGGAGCTGCATTAATCAAGATCCTGACCAAAACTTTTAACAAATAAAAGAGACAGGAAAACTGAAACCAGTTACTTGTTAAGACTATATTGTATAGCATAGGAAAAAAATACTTGGTACAGTATGATATAAGACTAGAAATATGACCAGTAAAAGAGTAAAATAACTAGGACTTTCTGTGGGGCAGATAAATGGTCCTCTCTCTGCTCCAGTTGATGACATGTAGCCTTTATACTGTTTACATGACCATTTACAGCAAAGCATGAGGACAGTTACCTTGATGTCAGAATTACAGGTATCCGTCCACTTTCTTATCCTTCATCATATTGCTTGTTTGATAACAAGTTTAGAACTACAAACCAGTCAAATTAAAAGACATAGTAACAACTTAAATAATTATATTAGAGCATCATTTAGTCACAACCCAAAGGCGGAACCAAGCGATAAAGCAAATCTAGCATCCATGACTGTGATTTTAAAGGCATAATATTGGACATTGATGTTGTTGGGCTTGGTTAAGAGTCATCTGGGGAAAAACAGTTTGACCATGCAAGAGCATTGATGGTGAAAATAAGTATGGGTAACAAAGGACAGCAAACTTGCTAGGTAGTTGACATGCAATAGATACCGGAACGTTCGCCATCACTGAGAACATTGGAATTTAAAAGTAAAATGAAGAAAAAGGCGATTAATAGTAGAATAACATTGATAAAATGCACTTACCAATACATGCTCATCCTGTACAGAAGATTCAAAATTTTACAGTTTCAAAATCCACAAGTTGGAAGCCTGTTAACATTCAGAAAAGTTAAATAGAAGCACCCTACTGAAATAGTTTATATTAAAAATATAAACATCACCTCAGACCACGATCTACCACTCTTCACAGCAACTCCTCAGCGGATTCTCCTGGAAACCCAGCTCAAAAGCAGGAAAAGCTATTAGTAAAAATTGTGTCCACATAGCAATCATCCCTTTCATTAGGTCAAATTCAAACGGGTTGAACAAGTTGGCCTGTCATAATACCCTTAACACAAGTCTTACCTAGCCCCACATCTGTTAAAAACCCAAACTATAATGACCAAAACAAGGAAATTGGGAAAGCAGGCATTAAAAGGCAATTCTTGATAAAAAAAATTTTAAACCCCAAAAAAAAAAAAAAAAAAAAAAATGCAAACAAAAACCCGCTTCTTGTTCCTTGTTATATAACCAGTAACAGAGTAAATTAAGTATAACTTTCTGTGTAGTAGAGAAATGGTCTGATCTCTATTCTGGAAGATGACATGAAACTTTTATGCTTATTCACATGACCATCTTCTGCAGGGCATGAGGACAGTTATCATCCATCATCATATTGCTTGTTTGATTTGATACCACATTGCAAGATAACAAGTTTAGAACTAGAAATATTTATCCGAACAATTCTCCTCAAAGTTTTTTTTTTTCCCATTTCTGAGCTTCTATAATGGCTATTTCATCAATAAAGAAGGAAAAGAAAAGGAGGAATATATTAGGGGAGAAAGAAAAAGAACAGTCGATGTTTCCTTCTAGATCCCAATCCATAGAGTCATTTTTTGCATTGGCTACAATATCAAAGATCATAATAGATATGAAAATTCCTCCAGCAAAGCATAATCAAGTTGTTGATCTCTAGGTGCTTCAGAAAATTACCATTTTGGCTTTTTGTTACTGGGCATGTTAGCTCTGTTAGAAATCTAAATACATATTCAGTTTTACTATTTACATTAAAACAAGCAATATCAATAAAACACTAAGCTTTCTTTGTCATTGCATATATGGAACACCTTAACAGAAGTACAGAAAAATAATCCGTTTGAATACCCATTAAAAAAAAGTGCATAATTTAGATTCAAAAAACTAACACTGCTACTTCTCCATGAATTAGCAGGAACTTGGAATGAGCCAACAGGGTAGCCGGCTGAACTCCGAAAGTGACTCTGACGGAAACTCAAAAATTGGTGAAATTTTTCTATCCTTCAAGCTGTAGATGCCCATGCCCATTTCACTACCTTCAAGCAGACTTAAATAATGATTATCATGGGTGAAGTAAATACAGTTCCCCTTGCATCCACTAAAATCTTCTGTTGATACTGATACGGATTGATTTTGACCTAAAAACAATGACCGATTATCCCCGAGCGTTTGCACTTCTACCCATTGTCGCCCTTCCAAGTCCAGCTTATATACATCAAATATCCCAGTAGTGATATCATGGTCACCCTCCTCTGGCACATTCCTTGCAACAAGCAGAATCTCCCCATCTGATTGAACCAGATAAAGTCCATGGATGAAACAATCTGGTCTCTCTAATGTGTGGTTGGAGGCAGCATATCGATTGTAGATTTTATTTTCTGGATAACCAGTCTCTAAATCCCAAGTATGAATAGCACCATCAACAGCCAGGACATGGAGCTTGTTTTCATAGCACATAATATCGTCCAAAAAAATACTGTTCGGAAATCCTGAATCATTGAATGGTCTCCACGAAATGTCTCCATTCTTATAATAAATAAGACCTTCATATTCAAAGTGGGATACCAAAACCACGACATAATCTCCTCCAGTAGGTTCGGCTGTCAAAAAGGCTCTTGATACAAAAGATAGGCGTAGGTCTACCTTAGACAGGATCACCCATTTACCCTTCCAGAGAATTTTAATGCGTCTATCATCTTCCTCAATGTCGGAGATGCCGAACAGGGGTTTTAATGAAGGAAGTTGTATCCGGGCCTCGGTGAAAGGGTTGAAGAGGAAGGGAGATAAAGTTGTGTAGTCGGAGAAAATCAGCCACCCGTGGGAGGATCCAATGCAGGCAAACTCAGAAACCAGGTCCGATGTTGACTTCTTCAGATCGTAAACCATGTTTTCTTCCAGATTCATGATGCAACAAGAACCACTGCCGGCCCATTTTGAATAACTGGTGTAGCCACCTTCTCCATGTCGTTTTGGAGGAAGCAGAAGCCATGGGGATTTGAGGAAGCGCGAATGGGACTTGGAAGAGAGGACGGCGTCTGCCCAGGCATGAGAGACGAGTTTTGCCCCGATAACGTCGATCAACGGCAGCCGCTCCAAGACACAGCAGAGCAGATCCCTAGGCAGTTGGATTCTGCTTGTGTTGTTTCTGCTGGTGGAATCGCAGGATTCTTCCACTATTTTCCGCTTCGAGACGACTTCGGCAGGAACATTGACCATCAACGGCAGT